TGTCAGTGACAGTGTCAGTATAATATACAATACAATACACTTTATTATTACGGCTCCCCTATACGAGGCTACTCTGTCGTAATATAGATATATAGAGTCGATGTCAGTGTCATTGTCAGTATCAGTGTCATTCTCAGTGTCGTTTTCAGTGTCACTGTCATTCTAATTGTCATTATCACTTTTCAGTACATACATTTCACCTCGGGCTACCCACCTGGGTGTAAAACGAGGTTTTATTAAAGGGGAAGCCCTTGAACTTTTGAGAACAACTCTTCTGAAACAAATTTCGAAAACAACCATTCAAAATTGAAATCGCGCCTTATCATGCGCAGATACGCTAAAGAACTAATACGAACAACACTATCAGAAGTTAACTTTGCCACAAGACAGTCGGCCCTACCACAAAAGAAGAAAACGTGAAAGCAAATCTTGCCTTTTGTCACGATATACTAGCCGTCAGAACGGTACTTTAAAAACTTTTGATGCAAAACTGGGATTTAATACATCATCAGCCCTTGCTGAAAACCATCTTCAGAAATCCACCTATTATATATAGCCTACAGAAGAGATAGATCTCTCAAAGACATGCTGGAAAGAGCCAAATTATGAAAGGCACATCTAACCACATCACATCCATTACGTGGGGAGCCCGTGCCGGCCTGCCTTATATATACTTTTATTCATAGTTCAACATCTGTCTGGTTAAAAAGAGTGGAAAAATTGTTTGACGTTGAATGTATTTGAATCGCCACAGATGGAACCGTGATATAAGTTTTCAGCCTGTTTTAACTGCAGAGGGAACCCAACAACCTCGACGAACAACAGCAACAAAATACGAAAAAATGATTCAAATTCACGAAAGTAACCCTATTTTTTAATAGATAAAACTGATGCTGGATGAATAAATGCAGAGACTGGAGAGAATGCAGTCTTCAAGGGCTGGGGTGCAGTGTACAGGACCAAATAAGGAGACAAGACCATGCAATAATGGATTATGCAAAGATAGCCGATTCAAGAACTTTAATAAGAATATTTCAGTAGAGCTCGCTATGTAATATATTACTCACCAACATGGGGCATAATATCAAGAGCTGTGGGAGTCGCTCCTTTCGATATTTGCCACATCCAGGGGCCAAAGGTGCTGCTACTCGTTGAGCATCACGATTAATGTAATCTTTAAATTCTCGAAATTTACAGTGCAGAATTGTGAAGAAGCTGATTGGCAGGCGAGCCTGGACCAGATTGGTTGGTCTATGTGTCCCAGGAAAACCACTTTCCTCAGGGGTTTGTGGAGACATGATCCAATGCCGGGAGATAACAGAGTTGGGCGTATTGAAACTGGAAACTGTTGCAGAGCAGAGGAACCCACTTTTATCAATCAGTCATCTACTTGTTTAAATGCAGATTGGTCGCTTTTATCGAATAGGTGAGTTTACAGAATGATAAGGATTCTTGAAAGCATAAATAAAATGAAACCAAGCATGGCATGACCGATTTAAGCAGCGAAACATTACTTTTGCAATTAACGGAATAATTAAAAATCTCTACAAAGATCGCCTATTGCTGACGAAAGATTTAATTTAAGAAAGCCTACATGACATAATACGTATAGAAGTTATGACAAAAGTTTGAAGGTAAAAAGTAAAACATTTCAACTAGTTTGGTAATTTGGATCAGCATAGTCTTTTGTCGTCAGTCAAAGTCTATTTCAGCCAATCTGCAACACTTTAATATCGAATACTTTTCTTTTAGATATAATGTCTGGGCACTTTGTCCATCCGGTTATTTCATGAATGGCCTCAGGCTTGATCATGCTCTTCCCGCGTTTTTGAACAACATAGCCGAGGCAAAGTGTTGTCATCCACAAAATCATCCCAGTAGTTATGAAGACTGTTACGATGAAGATGTTACCATTTCATTTGACCGGAAGGGATGGAGTGAATGCCAGCAGGAAGGTTTTTACATGACCGGTTTCTACAAAAGTAGCTGTGATAAGCTCTACTGTATTGAGAAGTTCAGATGTTGCAAGATGAAAAGTGGTAATATTGTTTGCTTATATGTTTAATAATAGATCATTTTATATGGAATCATAGAGCGTATTTCAAGTGACATCTTTATTGTTACCAATGTCAATATCAATGTCTTATCATTATCGTTATCATTATCGTTATCATTATCGTTGTCATTATCATTTTAAACAACTCGCAATCATTGCCGTTGCCTCTGCCATTGCCATTGTCAATGTCAGTGTCTGTGTCACTGTCGTTGTAAGTTTTATTGTCATTGTTGGTGTCTTTGTCATTGTCATCGTCATTGCCATTGTCGTCGTCATAGTCAGTATTAGTGCCAGTGCCAGTGTCATTGTCAGTGCCAGTGCTATTGTCATCGTCAGTGTCGTTGTCAGTTTCACTGTCCTTGTCATATGTCATTGTCATTGTCAGTGTCACTGTTATCGTCATTTTCGTTATCACTAGTGATATCGTTATCATTGTTATTGTCATTATCAATACAATTATCAGTATTTATCTCATTGCCATCGTTCATGTTATTATCCTTACCATCCAGAAAATCATGACTGTAGTTATGAAGACTGTTACGATAAAGATGTTACCATTTTATTTGACACGAGGGATTGGAGTGAAGGCATTTGGGACGGTTTTTACATGACCGGTCTCCAAAAAAGTAGCTTCGTTAAGCTCTACTGTATTGAGAGGGTCAGATGTTGCAAGATGAAAAATAGTAACATCAGTCTTCTTTTTCAATTAGGGGTCGGTTTTAAATTATTATGATGAAATTTAAAAGCACGAAGTGCTTACAATATGTTTGTCCAATTTGGGGCAAAAACAACAGCTAAACGACAAATAATATGTAAAACTCAGCATCTTTACTGTACTCGACACTTAGTCGATCCGCTTACATCAGATTGCATCATCCCACGATTCAGGGTTCGGGCCCAGTCCAATTCGATCCTCTCGACGTAGTCTTCTACAAATATGCTTTAGAATAAATTTTGTTTCTTTCAAAAACTGTTGTCATAATTCCTTTTTCTAATATCCATCCCTCCGCACAGCGCTTTTCTTACTTTGTTCCCTCATCGTTATCAGAATCAGAGTCAGGTTTTTTAGAGGGTTGGGTTCATCATGAAACCTCTTGTTTCCTCGTCATTGACATTCCAATCTGGGAATGGAGAGATGCTGCACGAAACTGCCAAAACTGGGAGGACACCTCGCTAAAACTGTGTCAGCCTCTAAGAAGCAGGTGAAGTTTGTTGGTCCTGGAGCATGGATAGGACTTCAACGAAGAGAATACAATACCTTTTATTGGACAGACGTGTGTTCTAAAAATGCGTGGACTTGATTGGAAAGAACTGGAGACGGAGTTTTACTCCAGGAAAGTAGAATGACACTCGTTGCATCTTTCCCAGCTGGATTCCTTACAAAGACGGACCTGTAGCTCTTTAACAGAAAGCGCCAAAGGAGAAGGAAGTATCATCACGTCTTCATTAGCATCGTAGCAACGAGGAGAAATGCATTTTCCTTACTGGCTTTGTATCCATAAGCGCTATGTTTTGCTTTTGATTTAATTAAGTAAAACATTATAATTGCCAATTGTGACTAATCGTTGATTGAAGCCACAGAACTATTCGCTGAACTAATTGCTCCTCCCGTCCACTTCGTGGTCATGTCCTATATCTAGAAGGGCGTGATCTTACTGCTTACACCTAGGAGGTCAAAAACTCCCCGCTTGTTGCATTTTGATTCATAGTCTCTAAAATGACGCCCTGGTCCCTAAACATTTGACAAGTATCTGGTTGCATTGCCAGTTAAGTTTTAGAGGGGATGAGGCCAAAAATTATTTACTCATAGCATACGTTTCTCCTACTGGCCACACAGCAGAAAAACAGTGTTTGACGAAAAAAAAAAGTTTGCTTCGATCAAATACTTACATTGGACGCTACAACGACAAATAAAGAAAAACGCGTTTATTCATCTTAGGTTTGCACTAGAAACAAAATGAAAATCGTGGAGAACAGACCATTCACGGTAGGGGTTAATCTGAAATTGTTATAAAAGTTTGTGTCGTAAAGTGGCTGATCAACATTTCTGATTAACTCGGAGGACAACTGGGTTAGGTAACACACCAAACAGACGCATCTCGCTATGACGTATCATGAAGGGGGAAGGGGGGTTGGGGAGGGGGGCAAAAAGGATGTCTTCCCACTAAGGATCAAACAACGATCTTTTCTAGTTACTCAGTCACCTTTTGATGTTCGATCTCTATTATGTTCTTTAGCATCAAAATAGTTCACTTTTTAATAAAAACAAAACAAAGCAGAAACACAAATAAAAAATATAAAAAATTGTGATCACATAAATATATTAATATTGACTGGCCGCTTAGCTTCGATTAGCCATGAGAGCTGTGTACGGCTAAACCTGAGTATCAAACCTGATGTCGTGATGAAATAACAATTGCGAAGCGTCAAGCTGGACATTAACTTTTTTTTCAGTGCAACCAAACCCATAAAAGACGTTGAAGCTTGATTGGAGGGGCTCACGCAGGCTGCAAATCTCTTGGAAAGCGGGTTTTGATGGAAACGATGCCATTAAATACTACACGGAGGAGATAAATGAAGATAATCAAAAATTTAGCAATACAGTTTGTCCAGAGTTTGTCTTTAGCCGTGCCTGTGTGGTTTCCACTGAATGTGCTTCTCTTACAGACCTTTCTCCTTAGATATCATTTTTCTTCAGAGTGTTTGCTGAAAATGCAATTGGCAGCAGCCTCGTAATAAGTTTTACCACAGAAGAGGAAAGTGCCCTTTGGTTATTCAAAATAACATGTAGTTTGTGCTTGTGGTGACACGTACTTTGATAGGCTGTATGGCTATAGTAATAATGGAAGAGAGGACAAACAGAAGAGAAACTCAGGACGCTCAGTTAATTATTCTCAAAACAAACAGACAACAAAACAAACAACTCCGTATCACTATTTTTTTCGTACATTACTCATTGTTCCATTTGACTTTATCTCAATTAGGCGATCTAATCTAGCTAGGTGGGCCATTCAAAGATTTTGAAATTTTAAGTAAATCATAAAAGATAATTAAGTATAGAGACAAGGGCAAAGAGTGTCGGAGTGTCAGCATTTAATGCAATCGGAGATGGACAATCGAGTGAAGTCAAGTTTGTTCCAATACAAGAGGACAATAAGTTAAATACTATTACTATTAGATGAGCACTATTAGAGGCTAATAGTGCTCATCTAAAAGAGCACTATTAGATGCTACTAGAGTCGCATCTAATAGTGCTCTTTCAATCCAGTTTGAAAACAGCGGGAAAAGAGAGCCACCTCGTAGAATGTCCACCGCTATTTTCCCATCACTAATATTATTACGATGATGAAGATTATTATGATGATAATGATAATGATGATGATTATCATTATCATTAAATATATCTAATCTTTTAACAGAACCATCTCCTACACCTCAGAATGTGAAAGGAACTAGCATCAGCTCAAGCAGCATCTCAGTTACGGGGAATGAAGTTCCATCACTCCCATCTATTAGAGGTCTTTCAAGTGGAGTTGAAAACAGTGGAAAAACAGAGCCACCTCGTGGTATGTCCACTGCTACATTCCTATCACTATTATTTTTATGATAATGAAGATTATCCTGGTGATGATCATAATGATAATGATTATCATTATTATTAATAATATCTGATATTTAACAGAACCCTCTGCTGCACCTCAGAATGTGAAAGGAACTAGCATCAGCTCAACCAGCCTCTTAATCACGTGGGATGAAGTTCCATCAGCTGATCGGAATGGTTTCATTTTGACTCACACGATTACATATCGCTTAGCAACAGAGAGTCACAATGCCAGTGTAACAGTTAAAGCTACTGAGTTTCAGAAGGAGCTCACAGGTCTAAAAGAGCACGCCAACTACAGCATTACGGTGTTTTCAACGAATCAAATCGGAGATGGACCAGCTAGCAAACCAATTTTTGTCACTACCAGCCAGCATAGTGAGTGTTTTGCTTTGTTTGAAAGTCAAAGATACAGAAACACTAGAGTTGATGAATAGATACATTCGTTTTCGTATGGGTGTGTTTCAATGCATTTTTATCTAACTTCAGATTCTTATTTGATTAATTTTTTTAAAAGACACACTTTTCCATCAATGGAATAGTCATATTCTTCTCCTTTTAAGAAAAAGATCAACAGACCTCTGGAGTTTTATTCCAATTCACCTGGGCGTCCGTTGGTGCCTTTGCAGTACTCGTTTGCGTTGTGTTAATCGTAATTGCTATGAAACGAATCAAGAGAAAGAGGAAAGGCTCTTTGGTTGAGGTATGATAAAATTGGCACAATTAGCTAATTAGCATTGCGACAATTAGCATTATGATGTTTGGGCGTGTTTAGCCTATTCCCTCTAGGAACTCGATAGGATGAAAAAAAACATAAATTTGCGTTAAGGGAGGGAAACTGTACCTCAACTTCTATGAGAGTGTTGTATTTCCATGTTGACGGAATATGGAGGAGATATACTTTGATTGTGTTCGTTGTTTCCGGGAAATATTTATCGTATCACCGGCATAAACTTGTAGACATCAAACACGTCTGCGAAAGCAAGTTTTTAGCCATTGTTAATGTGATTGTCATGATTGAAAACGTCAGATGTGGACAAAATGTCACTGGCAGGTAAACCAGATTTGTTCATTATCATTCAGAATATGTGAGAATCAGCCTTTGTACTTGAAACTGCTTCTTTTTCTATTTTTTTATAGGAGAGAAACGACGCATATAATGTTTCCATGCTCGAAATTACACCGGACATTATGAACCAGCTGAGAGATCAAAGCGAACGAAATCCTATAGAAACGCAAGCAGAGGTACCAAATTCAGGGGCAGACGAGGTTGCAGTTGTTGATAATGAGACATATATGGATCAAATGGAAATTGACAGAAGCTGGGAAATTCCTCGAGAAAGACTGGAAATTTTAGAAACGGAACTTGGTGGAGGAGAGTTTGGAGTCGTAATAAAGGGGAACTATTTGAGAGGAGATGGGAATAAATTGCCCGTTGCTGTTAAAATGTTAAGAGGTCAGATACAGCCAAAAGCTGTTTCCATTTATGAACTCACTTAGATCTGGTTGTCCTAAGGGTTTTATGCCATCCACTGGCAAACTATTTATCCTTTGGGGAGCGCAGTAAGTTTTGATAACCGTTATCCACTCGATAGCGGTCTCAACCCTTTGAACAGCTAGACCCACATGGTTGGAGATATAGAAGCCATTAAAAATAGCGTTACAGTACCTTACTTTTGTGGAAACATTTGACGACGAAGATCAACATCAGGACGATAATGATGATATTGGAATAATGATGTCGATGACGACAGTGATGACAATTATTACACACTTCGGTAGATAGGGCGTTTAATATTAGAAAAAACTTGGATCACATTCACATAACAGTCCTTCAGCAATGCTGATACCAATGATGATGATGATAATGATGCTCAATATCTAAGAAAAGACCCCTCGACACCAAAAACGTTTGCGTTGCCCTTTGAAAAAGTTCAAAATAACCTAATTGTAATCTAAAACGGTTAAGGCTGTCCTAAGTAGACAAGGTTTGCTATTATAGTTAGAAAGTGGTAGCTTACATGAATGGACAGTATGGATATTTGGTCATGGCGGCCATAAGTAGAGCTGTCCCCCTACGAGGGTGACCGATGAGCGATCCACAGCTCGTTGGTCGTTTATGAGAAGTGGCTGTAATAAGGAAATAGTGGTGTAAATGAATAACTGAGGTGTAAACTGAATCGAAGGCTGAGTTTTATTGTTTAAAGAAAGCAAAAGTGTAGTGCAGCACCTAACCGTCTTAGACTCTGATATTACCTAGATCTCTCCTGCTTCGCCCTTCAAATCATTCTTAATAACATTCTCCAGGGAGAAAGACAAGGAAAAAAGAATAGCGGTGCAGTCTTCTGAGTACTTTTTAATTGTTCTGAATTGCTGAGCTTTTCGGCCCCTTACATTTTTGCAACTCAATTCGAAAATCGGATTTTCCCATGTTTTATAGCTTCTACCTTTATTTCAAGGCGAAAAAGACCAAAAACAGCGCATGGTTCTAATCCAGGAGTTAGAGATGCTTAGAAAAGTTGGCCGCCACAAAAATATTGTGAGCTTGGTTGGAGCATGCTCATTTGAAGGTACATTAAAATAGATAAAGCTTTGTAATCAGGTCATAAGCGTTTTTTTCTCTTTACCCAAGGACGTAGATGCCTGTGTCAACAAAGGGTCCAGTTTGGCGGGAAAATGACGTGACCTAAAAGACCTGTTACAGTCTTAGAAAAAAATTTGATAAAGCATAAGAATCAGTTTCTTTTTGTCATTTATCAGTACGTAACAAATGAATATTTTAGCAAGAAACTAAAGAAACAAAAAATATGAAAATAACTACCAATGAAAAACATGGTAATTTTGCGGTGAAATTTCCAACATGTTCTCGTAGACTGAATTTGATATGAAACAAATGTAACAAACGATGAAACCTCCTTTACATCGCATAATTTTCTCTCTCTTAAAATAAACACTTTCTGGAGTCACAGCAGTTTTTAAATGACTGCTGTAAACCCCAAATCCGGGTTTGGGTTGACGGACTCATTGGTTTAGTTTTCTAGATCGATCTGAGACCGAAGTAAAGAGAAAATACAAAAGCCATCCCGTACCGACACCCAATCGATAAGTATTCTATTTTGAGGTCTATAATCAACAAATACTCCAGGAATAGAAAAATTTTAAGCTCTCGCATCACTATTTACATCTCGCATTCTTTTGTCTTCAGAACCCTTATGTGTGATTATTGAGTTCGTACCAGGTGGAAGTCTGGATCAGATGTTGGTTGAGAGCCGTATTCCCGCTCGCACAGAGGATGCAAATTATGCAAACCTTTGGTCCAGACTGTCCGAGAGAAATTTGTTAAGAATCGCCAAAGATGTCGCAAATGGAATGCAGCACCTTGAAAGCAAGCTGGTTAGTAACAAATGTGCGCTTGTTTCTTTGGACTTTTTTAGTTTGTGTTCTCGTATTTCATGAATAATGGGAGTGGATTCAGAAAATGAATCGTAATCATTTTATACTTTTTTTAAAATAATTCTCGAACTTGGTTGGTTGTCACCAACCTATGTATGTGCCATGCTTGTAATTGGACAGTGCAATTTGACACTGTAATCGTTATGTGCGTGAATGAACAGATCGGACTCCCGCTTCGCAGTTCATCGTCTATAAATTCCGGTAAGAAAATTTGATGATAATCAGTCTTAAAGATAACGAGACATTCATGGTAGATTAACAAAAATCAAGTAATTTTAGAATAAGATTTTTAAGGAGTGGCACAAAGTATTATGCTGCCACATTAAATCTATTTACACTTCTCCTGTTACAGTTTTTGCAAATACTAGTCCTTCAAGCAGCCTTCTCGCATATCTCATTTTTCTATGACGTTAGTGTGTTCACAGAGACCTGGCCGCCCGAAACATTTTGATTGGAGAAGGACTGGTAGCCAAGGTAGCAGATTTTGGATTGTCACGTGATATTTCAGAGGATGGAGAGTACATTAAATGCACAGAGGTACGCGAGTGTCATGTTATGTTCGTTTGCAGTCAGTATCTATGGGGGAGTGGGACAGGAAATCGTAGGACTTTGGTTGGTTCACGATACCTGATTCCCCTCCCTTCCATAACGCTCTGTGATATTCTCATGATTCCCCTCATGAACAGTTAATTGTGCGCCCTTGTAAACAGTTAATGAGGGTTTAAGTTAAAGTCTCACTGAGAATGCTGTGCTCTTTGCTGTTTTGGCAAAATCACAGGGTAGAGTTCCATGGTTGTGGATGTCGATGGAAAGTCTCAAGGGAATCAACACCACGATGTCTGATGTGTGAGTAATTTTCTAAATATTTAACAGAGTTTTCTTTGTGGCTTAACTGAGTGTGTCATTGCGTAAATAACTTTTCTATAGGTAACTTTATGATTCCACAAATTTATTTAAATTTTTTTAGGTTTGTTTTCAAATTGAGACATGGTCTTTATATCTTGACAGAGCAAAAATTCAGGCTTCAGCGCACATTTGAGTATTTCTTTAAAGTATTAGATGAGCAATTTTGGTGTATACAGTTTTTTGTTAAAAAACGATAATAATTATTATAGTAATAATAACAATATTAATATTAATAATGATAATAAAACATATGGTTTAGTAGTGATTATGAATTAAAGCTTAATCTTAATTAAAAAACAAAAGGTAGAGTGTCGCCTCGAGTCGTTATGTTTTGAATCATTTTTAGTTGGTCCTTCGGCGTCGTCCTGTGGGAAATAGTCACTCTCGGTGAGTACACGAGGAGAAAGGTGCACACTTTGCACCATAGAGCTGATGAAACACACTCTATTTCATCTTGTCTGAAAATATATTTCAGTTTTCCTGAGAAGTAACACTTCTGAAAACTGTGAAACTCTAATTTTACTTGTATTGAAATTTCCGCTGCAGGCGAGCGACCTTACTATGGAGTTACAGGCATTGTGGAACTTTACACCGTGTTGCAGGATGGTGTCAGACTCGAGAAACCACCGCACTGCTCTAAAATATTGTAAGTTATTTATAAAACTAACTTACAGAACTCAAATAGCTTTGAACTTTTTGACTATGGGTGTGGCATTTGTTACGGATAGGAGCTCTACTGGTGTAAGACACTATTTTTGTGTTTGACTGAGTCCTCACATGTATTTTAATTTTAAATAAGCCACAGGTGCTAAAGGTATGAGGCGGAAATAGTTAATTTACCAGGATCCGCTAATCACATGCACGACATTTCTATCTGTTTCTTTTTCTTTTTCGTCCTCTCCTATTTCTGTTTTCATTTTTTTTTTTTATTCATTTATTTATTTAGGTATGACATTATGCTTAAGTGCTGGCAACGGACTCCGGAGGATCGTCCAACTTTTAAAGATCTTTATTCAAACCTCCATACAATCTTGAGCGAGTCCGCGGTATGGATATGTTGAAAGATCATATAACCTTAGTTATTCACGCTACACTCCTATTCACATATTCTTGGACACTTGCGGCCTCCCCCTGCCCCTCTCAACGTTGGTCTGCACGATAGCATGGATACATTTGCAATTAACAACATTGGAAGGGGATGAGGGATAACAGAACATCCAAAAGGTTGCTCTGAACAAGTGTCCCAACTAATAATTCTGGGGGAGGGGAAGGGGAGGGGGAGGGAAAGTGGGGAAGGGGGAGAGGGAGTAGATGAAGAAATGTTGTAATCTCGGTGGATAATTATTCTTTATAGGACACTAAACGGGCTGGAATAAGAAGGTCTTCCGCATTATACGTCAACTAGAAAACAAGACAAAAACAACGTGTCTCTTATGAATGACCTGCAGGTTTTGCAGAGCAAGGCCGCAAAAATCGTACTAAACAGGCCACTTTATTCGTCAGCTACTGATGCCCTTGTAACTTTAGAGTGGCTCAACCTTGAACAACGTAGATTTTATCATCGCTGTTCACATGTATGTTTACATGTTTCTAACTAGCCTTATGGATCACTCAATAGAGCTACTAGCAAACATAATTATAACATAAGAAATAGAAACATGCCTAGACTACGCCTTGCAGCCAAAAATTGGGATGAATAGCGAGTGTGTAATCACTCTCTGACTGAAAGATTAGAACAACCTAGATAATGCCGTTAGAAATGCGCCTGACATTGTAAATTTTAAGTGTAGCATTTTTTAGTGGTTTTTTTTTTCAAATTTCAATTGTAGCTTTTCATAAATTTTTAATGAAGTTTTTATATTTATTTTTTATTTCCAGGTATCTTTTATTTTACTTTGAAAACCACAGTGATGTGATGAAAGTTTACTAATATAAGATTATAAGAGGATTTGATTTTGATTTTACGAGCTTTCCGATCCAACCCCAAACTAAATTGGAGTAGGTTACATAGGCTTTCTATTTGTTTGGGAATACTTCTGTTACGTGCTTATGATTTACCTATTTACTCATTTTCTTTCCAAAGGTCAGTTATATCAATATTACACACTTTGAAGAAAAGATAAATGAAATGGATGAAGCGGGGACCTTGAACTGTATTATCTGACAAAGACTCTGGAGACGCGGTTACACCAAAGTAAGCTCGGTAGACCGCTGATAGAACGGCTTGAGGGCCTTGATCAGGCAACGCTGTTACATTCGGCCAAGAATCGGCAAACTGTGAATGACTATGCGATATACCATTCCATAATATGACTTGTTTTGTTCTCAAAGTGAAGTTTGTTAAAATGGAAAATAGCCAATAAGTCTAACTATTCCTTAACTTCCGATTTGAACTGTCCGATTACAATAAATTTCTCATCGATCGAAGAGGTCTAATCGGAGAGTCAAAACCCCAATTGAAACACTCAATGCTTTTTAATGTCAATGAATTTTAACTAATTCACTAAGAATGCTGGCCATTTTAAATCAGATATGTCCATTGTCAGCTTAGAAAAAAGCCTGAATTATTTAACAGGAATTATAGCTACTACTCCAGATTGTTTCCTTTGGATTTTGACAACCTTTTCATTTGAAATGAAAGGAAACTATCTGAATTTGCCATTTTTCCTTGTGGATATTTTGTTGCGAGGAGCTTTGTCTTGTTTTGCTGAAGCCTGACCATGGATAAACACCTCATACCCAATAAAAGAGATGTAAGCTATTCAATTTGTTTCCATCACTTACTTATTGAATTTTATGGTTGAATTGAGCAGCTCAACGAATTCTTAATCGTTTTTGTTTAGACAAATATGCTAATTTACTCTCCTTTATAACTCGTGATATGTATTGTTTTTAATCAATAAAGACACTATACGTATTATTATAAATATATTATATCTTCATCATAGTTTTTCCAAAAACGAGGTGACGACCTCCGCATATTCCCGTAGATGTTACGATGAATTCCGTAGGTTGCCTAATATCTTGTCGCCGTATTGAAAGTTGACCTTATAACTCGTTCTTCGGGAATTAAAAGTGGCATTTAGTGAACTCAGTGGACGATTTTATTAGAAGAAAGAATTTAGCATTCAACCTCTATGGAAACTGAAGTTCGCTGCTTGTGTGAGTGTAATCGTGGGTGTAAACAAAATGCGATAAAAACAAATAAAAACATGACCTTTTCTTGCTGTTAAATTTTGAAATACTAGTGGATTTATATTCAATCATTTAGATTATCAGTTCGCGATTGCAATACATGATAGTTAATTTGGGCTTGTCTTCATCTACTATCACGCAAAAGATTCCGCGAGCTTATAATCTAATTGTGAGCCAGTGACCAGAGAAACTGGTATGTATCATTCCAGAGTTTCCCGCCAAAAAGGGCGGCTACACGGTTATCACAAAATCATTCCCAGTCTGCGGTCAACAGACAGCTCAAAAGTTTAGATATCGTCGATAGACAATCTTATAACGATTGATGTTCTTGTGTGATATCAAAGGAGTAAGGAAAGCATTAAGGAAACGATCAACTTCTCACTTAAATGTTCTTATTCATCGATCTTGGTGGCGAAGGTGAATGAAAGAACGTCGAAGAGTTTCCGGTTTTTTTTGCACCATTCAGAAGCTGTCAGAAGTTAGTAATAAGGCCTACAATTGCATTATCATTAGAGAAGGTTGTGGTTTTCTTAACAACTGGAGTTACGAGCATATTCACAAATCCATCCAATTTAAGAGCACATTTATTGTAATCTGTGATTCATAGATGCAAAACTCCGGTAGTTTCCTGCACTTAAAAATCAAGCGCCAGTAAAATATCGCACTGAAAGGACTGATTGAAGCACTAGAGAGGTTGGGACAGGACTATTTCTTGACTTATCTTGATATTGCAAAACTGAAAGAAAATTGAACATAAAACCTTTGAAAGATATCACCAACGAGAAATCGTACGTACCTTCACACTCCTGTGAATTTTGTCTTTCAGCGCCAAACTCTTTTTTCTCGCAAACTAATCAAATCGCAACCCCTGAAAAATGAAAACAAAGTTAAAATTAATTATGCAGAACCATCTTAAAGGCACATGTTTTATCTATGGAGATATGAGCGAGCCGCATTTAGTGTTTTGATGCTATGACTGGAGAGACCAAAAAAAAATAAGTTCAGCGATACTTTCCATACAAAGAAAATAATGCGGACTTCTAAAGAATGGATAGAATGTAAACTTTACCTGCTAAAAACAGAAAAAAGAAGTCGAGAGTTCTCACTGTGAATTAATGGGGTTTTATTTTGAAGAAAAAGAAATATTGAATCGATCACGGTTCCTCTGTAGCACATAAAATATTCTATAAAGTTTTAAAGGCTTCACAACCTTGTAAAGAGATGTCCAATCTAAATCCGACAATCCTTTCTCAATGGTGTGAACAGAATGATAATAACCTCGTCACACTGTATTTTCCTTTTTTTCATATTTGGCCTCTGGGAGTCTCGCCGGATTTCCATTTATTTCATATGATGTGTTTTGTTCATAAGATTTTTAACTTTGGAATTTCAGTATTTTCGGATTCAAGCTAAGTTTGTTTCGATTCGGATCACCTATAGATGTCCGCCACTATAGCCTATTAATCAGTGCTACCTTACAAACGACAATAGTGAATTACTCACAGTTTATTTAACAAATGTTTAGCTAAGTTCGACCAACAAATCAGATTTAAGCTTCATAGCATTTATTGCTCGAGTTAATTAACCTCAGAATCTGGGAGTGAAATATCGTTTCGAGCCTTATGTGCTCTTGAAGTGCGAGTGTTTAATTCTTTCTTACAGCTGCTGTATATTAAATATATGAACTTCATATATTTCATTGTATCTCAGCTGTATATTTCGGTGCAAAATATTAAGAAGAATTTGGTATAATCTCACCGTTACCTTTTAATTAAAGGTGATATGATGAGCTGTTCTCATTCGTCGGGTATTGTATGAAAATCGTAAAGAGAATTGATTTTTTGATCACAAATGCTAATGACAGAGTCACTACATTTGTGATTCCTTAAGGTATTTCAGCAAGGATGTAATTCTTGCGAAATGTCATCAAAATTTGTTGACAAATTAAAGTTTAATTTCACTCTTTAGAACCTCGTTACTGTAAGAATCTATTTTTGCACCAATTGACGAGGACGTGGGGAAAGGAAGCTCAAGGGAATGATACTGAATATGTTCCAATTTTGATATCTTGCAACTGTAATAGCCATTAGCGGAAAATATGCAAGACCTGATTAGGTATTGAACAAATCGTACTTACCCTCAGACTCCTCTAAAACGTTTCCCTCATTAAGGATTCAAACTACAACCACTGGAAATTAATTAACTAGAGTCGTCATTTATATTTGAAGACGTGTCGGAGTATTTTAAGTGTCCTGATCGTTTGACTGGCAATGAAACGAATTGCTTGAAAATAAAACAGATCTTTTGGCGTAAAATAACAAAAATATCTATGATGAGAAGACAGAAAGAACTCTAACAAATAAACATAAAAAAGATTCGACTTTTATTCTAAATCATTGTTTAACACCGAAGAAAAGTTGTTTAAGTTATAGTGGTGGTTTTTTTTTTTAAACATTATTAGCTCGGTTAAAATTGTCGGCCTAGTGTGACATTTGTAGACACTTTAATAACAACTCGATCGTTCAACTCAGTTGTCACACAACAATTAATGTTTAGTGACAAGTCACAAGGATATGTTGCTATCAAACTTATTCAAATAAGACAGAAGTAAAATGAAAGCAGGCGTGGCGTCTTTGAAAAATCTGCTACTTTAGCTGCATTGTTAGCGAATTCATCTGTTGGTGGAATCTGATTCTAGGGGTTTTAACATCAATATGTGTAATTAATGCCAATCAAAGTGATCATGTCGTGTTACATGTGATGGTACGGGACTCTTTTCAGCCCAACTTACTATTAACCGGTCTTTGCCGACATCTCACAATCAAAAGAATAAAAGAAAAAAATGATTTTTTTTGGCGAAAAAGTCCTCTTGTATGAAGCATGAGATTATACGAAATAGTTCTACTGGGCTGGGCTTCTTAGATTTAATATTATTCATCCGCTATATAAGTCGCTTTAGGACTGTAATCACAGCACAGTTTGTCGGATTAGTGTATTCTGTTCAGTTGGACGCTAGGAATAGGCCAATCGTCAATTTAACCAAAGATTTATGATACAAAAGTATTCGGGTGAAGCAGGGGAATCCAAGTGTTTAGTGTCTTTATAAAGCCTTTCTCATTCAAGCCCGAATTCGTAGTTCTCGCTTTCGGCTACAGTACTTTCCTTTCGAAATAGCAAAGTCTGCGGGTTTCATATCTATTCCATAATTTCGCACGATCTCTTCCGATGCAGCGGCGAAATTTTCCTCTAAGGACTTTTTCTTCTTTAGCTTGCGCAGACCGGGAAAACACAAACGAGTGTTGTTGTCGATTGCAAGCTTTAGCGGCAACTTCCTTAATTCAGTTTTCAAATGAAAAAAAGAAAAGCGACCGCGGTTTAGTTAAAGATTTATATTTAAACAAAGATCTCTTACTTGAAGTAATTACAGCCTCCTTTTCAATGAAATGGAAAGAGAGAAACCCTGAGATACGCTTTGTAAACAATCAGTATCAGGAGGTGTTGACTATCTTGCCAAGTTATAACGCTATTATGGGAGCAATGCAACAATTTCAGGACTGTAATCCCCTTTTGTGGTACAGCAATATGGACGGTAAGATGATATCGTATCAAATAAGCTGTATTGGATGTAAAATGCGAAACAATCGAGTGTGCGTGTGCATGTGTACATTTTCGAATAACTGACGGCATCGTCAAATCGGCTCATTTTATCTAACTTTAAAATTTGATTGAATCGCACTGAATCATTTCCCCAAAAAATCCTTTGGAGATCGAAAAAACAACACTTCGCCTCCCAAAAGCCAGATTTTCAGTCGATTATTTTGTATTGCACATAGTTAAATAATAGGTTATTTTCGACCTATTTTTAATCTTGTTAGAAGAAGGTCGGATAAATCCAATTACTTTGTGTAACTAAATGATCAAGAATTGCTCAAATTGCTGTCAAATTATGTATTGATGTTGCTTTTAAAGACTTCGTAGTTTCTATCGGTCCGAGTGTTTTCAATTCGTGGCGCGACGCTCCGAGATTCGTCTGAAATTTTGAGCTTGAA